TAACTGTATGTGTCTGTCCTTGTTTCATAGATTTTTGATGTATCAGAACTCTATACAGTTTTCATCAACAGTTTACTTTGAATTTGTTTTTACGAAAAAAGACGTATTTGGCTAGTTAAAATGACCTTTTCGAAGGTTATAGTATTGTTTGCTAAAGTAATTTTTTTTGTCCTGTACATGATCTATTTTGTTTGTTCAACATGATAAATTTATAGTAGAACTAAGGCGGTAATACATGAATTATGGATATTATTACTAAATAGATCATAAATAAAGAAATAACTTGATGTAAATATTGCTTTTTTTCGTATATTAATTTTGCCATGAGTTATGATGATTTTATTGTGTGTTGAAAGAGATAGATATCTATGAATATAGACTGATCTTGAACCATTTTCATAGAATATTCAACTGTTGAATTACAAAATCTCAGGAAACTAATAAATTCAATAACCATAAATCTACTGATGTTGAACTATCAAAAAAACTCAATTTTGGTAGTACATAGTTATTGACAAATACCAATCCGTGATGACTTTAGATGCCTAGTACATAGACCTAACCACCTATTAGAACGTTTAGTAAACTTGATGTATGTGGTAGAAAAACTAAACACTCTACCTTGATGTGCAGTCTCTACTGCTGTTTGATCAAGTCGAGTGAAAATTGGAGGTAACTAAGCTAAAATGAGAAATCAAGCTATGGAATTAATCATATTTTGTCTCAAACTGCGTTTGTAGTTGACATCTGCGACTACGATCACCACAACAGTCGTGATTAGTGGTAAACATACAGCGCAACATAACTCCGCCTGTAGCTTCCCCAGGGGTTACTGCCGGTCCCAAGCCCGGGTAAAGGAGGAGGGTTGGGCATGGGGTTAGCGACCCCATCCCGTAGAAAATCAACTCGCTAAAAAAACGCTAACCAGAAAAAATCATTCAAACCATTCAAACTCTGCCCTGGGAGTAGAAGGAAAAATGACGTCTCATGATGAAAGCCGAGTTCATTCGGAAGTCATGAGGCCGATGCACCTTCTTACAACCAGAGCGACAATTTTTATAGGTACATGGAATGTCCGGACAATGTGGGAGACCGGAAGAGTCTTCCAAATTTCTGCGGAAATGAGGAAATACAACCTGGAAGTGCTTGGAATCAGTGAAACACATTGGACGCAGGTTGGACAACAACGACTGTCTTCAGGGGAACTTCTGTTATACTCCGGTCATGAAGAAGAAAATGCCCCACATACACAAGGAGTTGCATTGATGCTGTCTAGAAAAGCACAAAATGCACTTATAGGATGGGAATCTCATGGACCGAGGATCATCAAAGCCTCCTTCAGAACAAAGAGAGAGGGCATTACAATGAACATCATCCAATGCTATGCGCCGACCAACGACTACGATGAAGACGCTAAAAACCAATTCTACGATAGGCTGCAGTCAATCTTCGAAAAGTGCCCAACCAAGGACCTGACCATTCTAATGGGAGATTTCAATGCAAAGGTTGGAAAGGACAACACTGGATACGAAGACGTCATGGGACAACATGGACTGGGAGAAAGGAACGAAAATGGTGAGAGATTTGCAAACCTATGTGCCTTCAATAAACTGGTCATAGGTGGCACCATATTCCCACACAAAAACATACACAAAGCCACTTGGATTTCACCGGATCACACTACACAAAATCAAATCGACCATGTCTGCATCAACAAAAAGTTCAGGAGGACGATGGAGGATGTGAGAACCAGAAGAGGAGCTGATATAGCATCCGATCACCATTTGCTGGTCGCCAAGATGAAACTAAAACTCAAGAAGCACTGGACAATGGCGCGGACAACATCACAAAAGTTTAACACGGCCTTTCTTCGAGATGCTGACAAACTCAACGAATTTAACATAGCCCTCAGCAACAGGTTCGAGGCCTTTCATGACCTACTCAATGGAGAGGGAACCAGCATAGAGAGCAGCTGGAAAGGTATCAAGGAGGCAATCGTTTCAACATGTCAGGAGGTTCTGGGCCAAAAGAAGCACCATCACAAGGAATGGATCACTGTTGGTACACTGGATAAAATTGAAGCAAGGAGGAACAAGAAGGTAGCAATCAATATCAGCCGAACAAGAGCAGAAAAAGCCAAGGCACAAGCCGAATACACAGAGGCAAACAAGCAAGTGAAGAGGAGCATCAGGACCGACAAACGTAAATATGTGGAAGATTTAGCGATGACAGCGGAAAAGGCTGCAAGAGAGGGAAACATGAGACAACTGTATGATACAACAAAGAAACTTGCTGGAAATTACCGTCAACCAGAAAGACCAGTGAAAAACAAGGAAGGCAAAGTAATCAACGATATTGAAGAACAACGAAACAGGTGGGTAGAACACTTCAAGGAACTCTTGAATCGACCAGCTCCACTGAACCCACCCAACATCGAAACAGCACCCACGGACCTCCCAATCGATATTGGCCCACCAACAATTGAAGAGATCAGCATGGCCATTAGACAAGTCAAGAGTGGCAAAGCAGCGGGACCAGACAACATCCCGGCAGAGGCACTGAAAGCAAATGTAGCAGCAACTGCCAAGATACTCCACATCCTCTTCGGTAAGATTTGGGACGAAGAACATGTACCAACAGACTGGAAAGAAGGACTTCTCATCAAGATACCAAAGAAAGGCGATCTGAGCAAGTGCGACAACTACAGGGGCATCACTCTCCTCTCAATACCAGGAAAAGTCTTCAACAGAGTATTGTTAAACAGGATGAAGGATTCCGTGGACGCTCAACTTCGAGATCAACAAGCTGGATTTCGTAAGGATAGATCGTGCACAGATCAAATCGCAACTCTACGTATCATTGTGGAACAATCAATCGAATGGAATTCATCACTGTACATCAACTTCATCGACTACGAGAAGGCATTTGATAGCGTGGACAGGACGACACTATGGGAGCTTCTTCGACACTACGGCGTGCCTGAGAAGATAGTCAACATCATACGGAACTCCTATGATGGCCTAAACTGCCAAATCGTCCACGGAGGACAACTCACCGACTCGTTCGAGGTAAAGACCGGTGTTAGGCAAGGTTGCCTACTCTCACCCTTTCTCTTTCTCCTGGTGATCGACTGGATTATGAAGACGTCAACATCTGGAGGAAAGCACGGGATACAGTGGACAGGCAGGATGCAGCTTGACGATTTAGACTTCGCGGATGATCTGGCTCTTCTATCACAAACGCAACAACAAATGCAGGAGAAGACGACCAGTGTAGCAGCAGCCTCAGCAGCAGTAGGTCTCAATATAAACAAAGGGAAAAGCAAGACTCTCCGATACAATACAATATGCACCAATCAAATTACACTTGACGGAGAAGCTTTGGAGGATGTGGAAATCTTTACATATCTGGGCAGCATCATTGATGAACACGGTGGATCAGATGCAGATGTGAGGGCGCGGATGGGCAAAGCAAGAGCAGCATACCTACAGCTGAAAAACATCTGGAGCTCAAAACAATTGTCAACCAACACCAAGGTTAGAATTTTCAATACAAATGTGAAGACAGTTCTTCTGTATGGGGCAGAGACGTGGAGAACTACGAAAGCCAGTATCCAGAAGATACAAGTGTTTATTAACAGCTGTCTACGAAAGATACTTCGGATCCGATGGCCAGACACTATCAGCAACAAGTTACTGTGGGAGACAACAAACCAGATTTCAGCGGAGGAAGAAATCAGGAAGAAGCGCTGGAAGTGGATTGGGCACACTTTGAGGAAATCACCCAATTGTGTCACAAGACAAGCCCTCACGTGGAATCCTGAAGGTCGAAGGAGAAGAGGAAGACCAAAGAACACATTACGCCGAGAAATAGAGACAGACATGAGAAGAATGAACAAGAACTGGAAAGAACTAGAAAAGAAGGCCCAGGACAGGGTGGGTTGGAGAAAGCTGGTCGGCGGCCTATGCTCCATTGGGAGTAACAGGCGAAAGTAAGTAAGTAATACAGCGCAACATGATTCAAATGTAGTTGTAATAGTCTAAAAGCATTCTTTCTTTATCTTCTTTAAGATTCTGAGTTTCAAAATCTTTTGTGCTTTTCATTTCACGGATACATTACTTCTTTTATCATCAAGTGAATCCTATCTTCATCACGACAACTTTACCATCAAATAGTATAGTGGTCATGAGAAAACATTTCAGTTCGTATTTAATTCACTAGTCTATCATTTATTTCCCATCAATTTCGATTGGTAGCTTTCTGGAAAATTACGTTTTTTTTCTATAAAAAATAAATCTAGAAGTTGTTTTAACCTGGAATTTCTAAAATGACACACAGCTATTTGTTTGACTTATAAAACTTTTTACCACATTCATTTGCATAACTAGTAAAATAGTCATCAAAATTCATTTGCGAATATCTATAGCCTCATCTAATTGTTTATGTAATTATATGTTTCAGAACAACAAATAATGGCATAATTGATTTTTATGAGCATAATTAATGCTGATTTTTTCTCCTTTGAGACTAATTTATTTTAAATAAATCAAGTTACCATTGTTTTTATTGTTTCGTTTATTATGTCAAGTGTTCTATTGCTCCGATTATTTTTTTTATTGCAATACGACTGTTTGTATCGTGTATCTAGCTATGATGGATTATAATTGATGTAGCTATATTAGAACACCATTAAAAACATAAAAACACTGCACAGAGCTCTCGTCCTTCCATAGGGCTCCTCAGCAGTACATATACACGATCTCACTTGAGGGATTCGAACCCGGGACCTTCAGCCTTGGGCGTAAACGCTCAACTTCGAGATTAATGATCCATTGATGATTTCAGAGATATTTGACAATCGCTACAATATTATACTGGCATTTGTCCAATTATATTTTTCTGTCTTTTTTTTCTCACAATGCATTGACTTGAAAATGAATTTTATGTATACTTAAAAGTATTTTTTTATTGTTATGTTGTATGTTTTCTTTCCTTTCTAGGTACCGAGACTTCATCTTTTGATAAACATGCAACAGCTAATAATAGCACAAGGTTTAGTTTTTGCAGTATACTACCACTAAACTTTGATAATTCTAGAAAATCAAATAACTTCATGTCGTCGTCTTTATTTGAACCGAAAGTTAATGGTACTGGTGATTGCTCCATGTTGAGTAGAAGTGATACTTGCTCAAATCTTAAAGAGTAGGTTGTACATTTTATTTGTATTATTGTTTCTATCATATTTGCAACACTTTCATTGACTTCAATTAATTTATATCATTATTCTGTATACTTTATTAGTGGGTTTTTTGTTTCAGAGTGTGCATTACATTGACTATAGCGATTCGACCAATAGATGATATTTAGTAAACAAGAAATTTAAATATATATCGTTTTATGAAAATGATTATTCTCTATAAAATTTGATTTAAAATATTGTCAAGGAGTTAAGTTTTTAACCAAATATCATTTTCGCAGTTTTCTTCACGTCTTAATAATCATAATTCGCAATAGTAACTTTATATACAACAACTGTTTCAATTAATCTGATCTTTTTTATTTGGCTCATTACTCTTTTGAAGTTTCATATGGTATTTCTTATAATGATTTCATTCAGTTAAACATATTTTCATAAAATAATTGACGGTAACAACTATGATGCCAATGGTAAATACAGTGTGATGCACGGTAATTAATCTAGTTTGACATTCGATTCAGCAGACAACAAGTCCATAAATACATCTTTATTATTCAGCTAGGTTAGTAAACATGATTTTGTTTTCTTACAATGAATATTTGATGAAACATTTTGTTGAAAAGTAGAAGAATTAGATTATTAAAACCATTCGGTATGTTCTACTCAACTACAACTTACATCAAAAAGCAAATGTTTTTTTTCCATTCATTTCCAGATTATCCAAAAATTTGATAAGTAGATTCAAGTAAATAGTTGAATCTTAACCATCAACTTTCATTTCTATCAGAATTTTAAAACTTCATTGAACCATAAATTTTTACCTCTTATTTAATAACGGAAATACAAGTTAAATTATTAAGTGGTAACAAAATTTATGTACGTCTGTCACCGTTTATTATTACTAACATAAGGTTACTTGTATACCTCAGTATTTATTAATTATATGAAGTAAAAAGATATATTAATTATTTTGATAGTATCTATGATGACACTGTAATTTATAGACGATGTTTGAGCAACGCGAAATTAATTTTGAGAATGTTCATCTACTAACTAGAGCTAAATGAGGGTTATAAACCAATATAAGGAATTAAGATTATGATTTACAGTTGATGATTAAGGTTAGAAATTAGATTAAAAGTTTTCGTCACGAACTGATATTAGCTAAAATGCCAAAACGCTATTCAGCCAAATGGATTAGTGAATTTCGCGTTGAAATCCAAGACATATTCTCTTTTATCTTATTAGTTCGTCCACGAATTTTAGTCTCGCCGTATCTATAATATTTTGTGTTCACTAATTCACTTATATTCTATGATCAAATATAAATGTGAAAAATTTGTCAACTTTTTCAAATCGATAAATCTTGTAATTATATGCAAGTGAGTTTTCATGCTACCAATTTTTGTCAACTATAATGAATATGCTCAACTTAAGGTGCTTTTCTTAAAACAAAGAAATATTAAATTGTATCTAGTGATTAGTTAATTAACTTTTTAATAGAGAACTGAAATTGTCCTTAATAGTGAAGTTTTAATTTCATAAACTGGTAAATGACCTGTAAATTTCATTTTATACAATCATTTGTGCTTTAACCAACTTATAATCATGTTCATTGTTTTTTAAATTATTTTCGCTTAAAATAAATAATCTCATTTTACTTAAAAGTTGTTCTATGTTTTAATATTATTTTTTGTTGAGAATTCAATTTTCATATGATAGCTCTCGTTCTCCTACACCTGATATAAATTCCAACAACTGTCGAAGCCTGAACACATAAGAACATAGAATATTGCTTCGTTATATCAAACAATTGGTCTACATTATAATTCAGAACTTGCGTTATGAAACAAACCCAGGTTTAAATAAATCAATTCTATTCAAAAAATATTCATTATCATAAGATTAAAATGTTGATAAGATTTTCACCAAGAACTTTACACAATATCCAAGTGAATGAACTACATCAGTAGACGTTTTGGTTTATATTTTTCTGATGACAAACGAATGTCACTGCAATGTATACAAAAATGAGGATATTGAAATTTTGCCTTGAGAAGATGTCATTAGAGACAAACGACAAAGTGTAGAATATGTATAGTATCATATACACATGTATATTGTATATTTCTAACAGGAATCTAATTTATTCTATCCAATATACTGTAAATTTTATTGATGATAAAACTGACTTTGAAAAATTTGAAAATTAATGAAGAAACTAAACAGACATTACGTATTCATGATTGTAAACATTTCATTCAGTTATGCCTATGAGGTTCTGTCTTATTTGAAAAACTTTCGATATATAATAGAGCCTATAATCATGTTTAGAATTTTTAACAAGACAATATACAATAGTAAATATATTTGTGTTCCCAATAAGTAGAAAAATTATATTCGTGACTTACTCTAAGCCACTTCTTTAGAATTAACACGTAACCGAATTAAAATTACGGAAGTATAATAGTGTCATGACATAAGTTTCACAAAAATCAATTTAAAACTTACTAATAGATAAAATTTTTTAGCTTAGTTGATCATAAATTTTACAATGAATTAAGTAGCGTAAGGATTTTTGAAAGATCATAAAATCGATCTATCATAGCCTTGATATTGATTTCGTTGTAAATAGCTTGGAGAACAATTGATGTTTTGGGTTTTATATAGTTTTTCATTATCGATATTGTCTATTTTTCCATAAAAAATGTAAATGCGTATAATAAAACTAGTTCATAATAAATATAACAAAATGACTAAGTTATGCAGAAATGTTCTCTTTGAAGAGCGATTTCATTTATCAACTAATATATCACTTTCAGAAATCTTAATAATCTGACATTACAAGACGTCTTTTTTGTAGTTTGTGACATTTTAACAATGAATATTTATTCACTGTGTAATAAAATACCATGATTTCTAATGCCTCATCATACATCACTTATCTGTTCTTATAAAACTTAAATAAATAATTGTACTCGCTACTATGCAGACTTGTTATAAAGGGGGAACATTTACATGAATGGTATTGATTGAACAATTTACCGATTATACTGATAAACCCAAATAGTTGATGTAACCCAATAATTAAAAGATAACGGAATATACATTTTACTGACCAGTTATTCTGAGTTATTTCTGATCACAAAATCATAGATTTAAAATCAAACCTTATTGATTGCTATTTTAATGTTCAAAACCTTTCTTACAAAATGTCAATAGTTGTAATACCTAAAAAATGGAGTAATTATTTAAAATGGCAATGAACAATGAACCCTCATACATGTTCAATTCTACATTATATATAAGTATACTTATTTAGGTGTGTGTTTCTGGATACATCCATTCACAAAACAATTACTTACATAATTTATCTTCATTAGTATTTCTATCAATTAATAAAATTTGATTGTTATCAATTTATAGGTTTTATTACTTTCTTTCCTAATTGGTTTTTAGTTTATTTTGTCTTTACGCTTCTTGGAACACTTTTTTTTATTTTTTGTCTATTGTTATTATGGTTATTTGATTAAAATACAAGATATCCATAGGTATATATATTCTATTATTGTGGTCAATCATCTAATCCATATTGTAATCAATAAATGATACGTATACACATGTATATATCTATATGTCTATGCATTTCCTCAGTATAAGTAAAGTTAGCCTAATGCATGAAGGTATTCAGTGTCAGCTTTCATGTGTAGACATATATGTGAACACGTAAATACTACATAAATACTCCATATCATTCATCAGAATTATAAAAGTCATAGCTAAATAGCACTGATAATAATTTTTGAGTTTATTCAAATCTGAATGAGAGCTATACAAAAAATGGATAAAATTTAGTCATGTAAACAATGAATAATAGGAATGTGGAAAACATAAGAGAGTTAAAAATCATTGAGAGAAACCGAAGAATTTTTATGCTTGTTTTTTCGTTTATGATAGTTTTAAAACCAGTTGATATATAGATTTCATTTTCATCGTTTCATGTTTGGCTGGATGCTTCGTCCTGTGAAAATATTAATAAGTCTATAAATTAAGGATTTGAATTTGAGTTTTTAAATATATGACTTGTTTAATTAAGTAGAATAATAATAACATCTCAACAAGTTTCACAATTGCTAATATCCAATTTATAAATAGCTAATCAGTGAATAGTTCAGGGAAGTGTTTTACTGCTTGAAGTGAATCAACGGGCTTGAAAGTAATAATACCAATATAATACGACGTTTAGACTATGAAAATAATAAAATCCTCTTCTTTAAAAGTCAAAACATTGATGTTGATAAACTTGTCAACTTGTTATTAAACTCATAGCTCGCTATTTCCCTCTCTCTTTCTCTTTGTATATATATCAGACGTGGTTTATATATATATATATATATATATATATATATATATATCTGAATGGGATAAAGCATATGATTATTTCAATCATCTAATATCAGATCAAGTACACTTTGTTTCTTAATCAATTTTTAGAAATTATATATATTAAGTCTACATGAACTTCTACATAATAAAATTACTAATTTTTCGTTCGTTTCATAACAAAATGATGAGAAAGTGAAATATATACATATATATATATATATATATATATATATATATATCAGAAGGGGTTTTGTGGAGATTTAGTATTTTCATAGTTGAAAGCATGCGTCAATTGGAGCTAGACCACCAAGAAAAACCTGGGAGCACTGAACGACCGTTTCGTCCTATTGTAGGACTACTCAGCAGTGCGCGTCCACTTCCTTGCCTAGCGAGATTCGAACCCAGGACCTACCAGTCTCGCGCCAGAGCCCTTAACCGATAGATCACTGAGCCGGCATCCGATGGTGTTTATGTCTAGCTTCAAGCAATCCACGAGGTTGAGCAGCCGTTCACTAATTGTCTTCGGTGGGTTCCTATCTTACGACAGACGTGGTTTGAACTCTACTGGTCACTGCTTCTCACTAGAACACTAGGATTTCCTCCAGTGATTTCAGGTTTT